CATTGTGTTGCTAAGTCTCTACTACCTACCTGCCTCACAGCTAGCCCCAAGTCCGCCTTTAATAAGTGCCTGCTGTGCGCTGTCCTGGCCCTTTTTTTCTAGAGCAGTTTTAGATTTACAGAAAACAAAAAGAAAAGAAAGTAGCTGCCCTGTCCTTCTCATCCCTACCCACCCACCGTTCCCCCCATTGTTAGTATCTTGCATTAGTGTGGTATATTTATTAAAATTAATGATCCAACATCGAATCATTAGCATTAGCAGAAGTCCATAGTTTACACTGGGTTTGCTTTTTATGTTGCCTACTTCTGAGGATTTGAGAACTGGATAATGACATGAATCCACCGTTGAAGTATTATATAGAATATTTTCATTGCCCCCAAAATTCCCTGTGCTTGACCTAATTCATCTCCCTCTCCGGCAAACCCGTGGCAGCCACTGATCTTCTTACTGTCTCTCTAGTGCTGCCTTTTCCCGAATGTCATGCGGTCGAAATCATGTAGTACGTGGGCTGTTCAGGCTGGCTTTTGACTCAGCAGTACATATTCAGGTTTCCTCCATGTATCCTGTGGCTTGCCAACTTACTGCAAGACCGTAATGTGTTTGCCATTTGCCTATTGAGGAACATTTTGATTGCTTCCAAGTCTTTGCAGTTCTGAGTAAGGCTGCTGTGAACAGTCGTGTGCAGGTTTTTGCGCGTCAAGTTTTCACTCACTTGGGTTAACACCGGAGGGTACAGTCGGACATGGTCATGGCAGAGGAGGTTTAGGTTTGTAGGAAACTTCTAAGCTGCCTTCCTAAGTGTTGTTACTGTTGTGCACTCCCGGCAGCAGTGAGTGAAAGTGCCCGTTACTCCACTTCCTCGCTAGTATTCGGTGTTATCAGTGCTGGGATGTGGGCCCCAGTGTGTATGCAGTGGTGTCTCATGGATGTTCAACTTCGTAATTCCCTAGTGAAACAGGATGTTAGACATCTCTTTATAGGCTTTTGTGCCATCTGCATACCCTCTGTAGTGATGCTTCTATTCCAATCTGCACCTTTTAAAAACTGGGCTGTTTAGTTCCTTATTGTTGAGTTTTAGAGTTCTTTGTAGATTTGGATACAGTCCTTTATGAGTTATGGGCTTGACAAGTTATTTTCTCTCTCCACCTGTGGCTTGTCCTCTCATTCCCTGAATGTCCTAGAGTTGTTCATGCCTGCATTTTCTCATTTAAGCCTCCCAAGATTCTGAGATTTATATAGTATTAACTGTTTTTTTCCTAAGAAAATCAAGGCTAAGAAAGATCAACTGACTTGTGTGATGGAGTTAAGATTTGAACCCAGATCTGATCCAACAGCTCTGTACCTCACACTGCATTTTGAAAGTGTATCCTTGCCATAGATTAGCCCACAAGAGAAGACATCAGGGCCTCTTCATAGTAAAATATCCTTCCATAATCCCAGGAAGAGGGGCTGCGTCTGGATGGCCTGCGGCCCCTGCGTGGTTGTTTGCATCTTGGCATCTTCACGGGGCACAGGAGCTTCCTCTGATCTCTCTGTGGGTGCCTCCTCGGTGTCGGTCCCATTGCTGGTCCCTGTCGTCCCACGTTCTCAGGACAGAAGATTCCTGCAGCCCCCCCCCCCCGCCGTGTGCGTGCTCTCTCCACGGGGCTGCCTCCACTCTTGCTGTTGAAAATACTGCCACCTGGTGTAGAGGCATCTTTTGCCTTTAAGAATATTTACCTGGGAGAAATAGGGTTGTTTCTTTTGTTTATAATCGTGTTTTCTCTCAGATTTTAAAAGTTTATATTCTTAAAAAAATTCCCTTTCAACATATTAAACCAGAGGCTGTGTTTCCAGTGCTATGGATCCCAGGGCAGGCATAACTCAATAGCTAAGGATGAATTTTTGAATCAATAAGTCATTAGTGAGGCCACTGACTGCAAACGCAATATGCATTTTTTTACTTTTTTTTTAGGCTTAGAGTCCTGTGACGGCTGCTAAGAAGGCTTGATTTTCCTGAGCTCAGAGTCAGGCACCAGACCTTGTCCGAGCTCCCCCAGCAAGGCCCCGTCCCTGGGGCTGGAATTCTGCAGGAACTGGGGAGCAGCTGTTTGCACACACACCAGTAGTGGGCCTGCGAGAGTCTCAAGGCCTCCGATGCCATCAGTGCATTGTGTGAGCAGAGCGGGGGTTACAGGGTCAGAGGAACGGGAGAGAGAAATCTCCCTGCCACGTGCAGGCTGTGTGTTTCCCCACTCGACGCCCCAGTATCCTTATTTGTCAAACGGGAGGAATCATACACACATCATCCTGGCATTAGTCTCTAACCTACAGAGCTCACTCGAGGGATAAGTACCTGAGTGAAAGAATGCATGTCAAGTCTCTGGTACCTGCTCAGTGACACGTACCTTGAAGCCCCTCCTCCACCTTACACCCCTCTCCCCACCTAAACAAAGCAATGACTTGAGCCTCCCACGTAGTCCCTCTAATTGTGTCCACAGAAACCCAGCCCCATGATGAGTTAACCAGAGCAGCACTGAGTATCTCAGAGTCTAGCATAGGCCTGCCACAGGGCGGATGCTCAGTGAATGACCTTCACACTCACTAATTAGCTGATACAGGGCAGCAGCCCATCCTAACCCTGGGCCTGTTTGTCCGTAACTGGCCCCAGTTCTTACCTTCTCCTCCATATCACAGGAAACTGACCTAGCATTTCCCAGGCTCTCCTGTCAGCGGGCTTCTGGGTGAGTTTAGCCAACGGTGTCTGCTGGTGGGAGGTTGGAAAGGAGAAAGGGAGAAGCCAGGGTATTTCTCCTCCCAGTCTTGGTCCTCTTTAGCAGCAAGGAAAGCTGCACTGCCGCAGCCCCCAACATAGACCCCCTGTGGCTCAGTGTCCGTCAGCTGGCCCCAGCTCCTGAGCTCTGCTGCCCGTACCTCCTCTGTCTCCCAACCCTGGGAGAGGCAGTGTCTCCTTGTTGTTGATCAGATTATCTTGGAGTCACTTCACTCTCCTCTGCCTAGCTTCTCCAGCCTCGTATCGCCCAGGCAACCACTTCTCTGTCTTGAATTCCCTGTGCTGTGTATACTGGTGGTGCTGGTGGTGCTGGTGTCCAGCGCCCTTCCTAGCCCCCTTTGGAAGCAGGAGCCACTGAAGTTGGAATCAAGAGATCCTCGTTCGTCCACCCTGAGAATTTCCGGCTCCTCGTTTATAACAAGGGCTAACGGAACCCACCCTGCTGCTCTCCCAGGGTCACTGTGGGAATCGAGCGAGATCATCCACTTATACATTCACCAAGTACTGACTGAGAACCTTTGTAGGTGTAGGAAATGGATCAGGGAACAGGAAAGATAGCATCCCTGTTCTCAGGGGAGGTTCAGTTAGTAGCAGCAAATGTGCTTTGTAAACTGCACGGCGCTGTTGAACCTAACAGGGTACGCTGACCTGATGTCCGTCGCCCCTTAGGGATGCTCAGAGCTCTGGGAAGCCACGTTTGCCCCAGAGTAAGGCCGAGGTTGGCAAATGCAGCAACTGCCCGGTGTTCTGTGTGCTGTGACCTGGTCCTCCCTCTCCGCCCCGCCCGACCAGCGAGTCCCGCTAGCTTGTGTCTGTTAGCAAGTCAGAGCTCATTCTGATTAACTGTGAAGGATTATCCTGACTGTTCCGCTGTTCTAGCTTTTTTTTTTTTTATCTTTTCATTTGGTTTATTTGAAGTAAGCATGCTATTGACTACAGCCTGCAAGTGCTGGTCCTGCCTAGATTGTGTTTGAAAGGGTGTACCCTGCAACAGGATTTTTAGTTACTGAGCACCTCCGTTATAATGAGTCTGCCTCACGTTAGTGTCACTATTGATAACAGTGTGTGGCTGGTAAGCTGTTTGCAACAATACTCCAAGAGGCAAAATGAAAGTGATCTGTGTACTGATGGAGAAGAGGTGAACTTGCCTGTTTAAGCAAGTATGCAAATGGAGCATATTAATTCAGATTCAGCACTCACGCATTCCAGATACTTTTATATGATCTGCCTTGCTATGGAGCAGGTATTGTCATCCCCATTTTATTTACCTGTTGACTTACTTTGTTTAAAAGGCAGGAAAGAGAATATCCATCCTCAAATACCCCCAACAGGCAGGGCTGGACCAGGCTGAAGCCAGGAGCCTGGAATCCAATCCAAGAGCCCCACATGGCAGGACCACTCTGCCACTTTCCAGGGTACACTCCAGCAGGAAGCCGAAGTGACGAGCAAATCTAGGACTTGAACCCACATGCTGCAGCAGGGGACGCTGGTATTCTCACCTCTGCACTAAATGCCAGCTCCTCTGTCCCCATCTTAATGGTGAATTCACCAAGACTGAAAAAAGCAGCTGAGGGCAGCTCTGTGGCACAGGGGGTTAAGCTACCACTTTGGATGCCCACATCCTGTAATCCAGGTGCCAGTTCAAGTCCCAGGTCCTCTGCTTCTGATACAACTTCCTGCCTATGTGCCCGGGAAGGCAGCAGGTGATGGCCCAAGTACCTGGGGCCCTGCCAACCTCTTGGGAGACCTGGATGGAATTCTGGGCTCCTGGCGGCTTCAGCCTGGCTTATCTCTGGCTATTGCAACCCTGTAGGAAGTAAACAAGAGGATAGAAAGAGTTTTTTTTTTTCCTCTATCTCATTCTGGCCCCCTCTCTCTGTTATTCTGCTTTCCATGTAAATAAAGAAATCTGAAAAATTAAAAAAAAAAAAAACCAGCAGGTGACTCACGCAGGTTGGGTAATGACAAAATCAGAATCCGAAAGGAAGGTGAGAAAAAAAGAGAGGATGCATTCGTGTTCTCTTTAAGACTGGTAGCCTCCCTGAGCCTCAGCATCCTCCTCTGTAAATGCAATCAGTGAGGGAGTGCTGAGGCTAGGTGAGCAGCATGGCACCAGGGCATGCAGTAGTTAACCTGTGGCAGCTCTAGAACAGAGTACTGCTGGCTCTTTACCCAAAGGCCTCTCATCAACCACCCCTTGTTTTCTGCTCTTTCTCTGTCTCTGCAGATGACCATTCCCGGGTGAGGCTGCTGGTGCTGGATGGAGACCCACATTCTGACTACATCAATGCCAACTACATTGATGTGAGTATCTCGATGGGGTGGGGCAGCTGAGGTCTGGGGTTGGCAGGGCAGCCTCTAGATCTATGGCTATTCCCCAGCCTGTGCCCCAGAAGCTGGCCTTTCCGGGGCATATCCTGAGCCGTCTGGCTCCTCCCTGATTTTTGAAACCAGCCTAAATCAAGCTGCTAATGCATGCAAAGCCACATCTTCTTTCAGGTCAGCTTGAGTAGGCTGCTCAGTGGAGCCCCAGGACGATGGCTAGTCTTTTTCATTCACCCCCGTTATTCACTTACATAACTGTCTATCCATTCATACATTCATTCATTCCCTCACTTGAAGCAACAGCCATTAATGCAACAAAAATGTAAAAGTGCCTACTGTATGCTACCATAGAGCTTAAAATGCCAGGGCTCTGCCCTAAAACCTTGGGAGAGAGAGAAGCTGTGCACAGTGCGAACTCCAGGGCAAACTAGAAAGTGTAAGTGTCACAAGTCGGGATAAAGTGCCACAGGGATTTGGAGTTGGCAAAAATAGTACTTCTTCCATCAAGTATGCAGAATGTGATGTGAACCAAATTTTCATGCATAGGTAGAACTGAAAGTCAAAGAGGGAAGATGGGCCTCTGGCTAGAACAGCAAAGCCAAGAGGAAGCAGCTGGAAAGGCGATCTGGAGTCTGCCTTTGAGGGCCTCGGGGACTTTGTGATGGGAAGAGTGGGAGACTGGCTTGGCGCCCGCTCGTTGATGGTTGGGATGCTCTGACATGGACAGCTGGACTTCGTCCCGCAGGCAGGACACTGTTGCAAGTGTTTGATTAGGAGATGACCAGTTTAGAACTGAGCTTTGGGGTGATATACCTGCTGCTGAAGGCAAGGCAGATCTGAGGATCCGAGGGAAGAGATTTTGGAACTAAGACACCAGTTGAGAAGGAAACTGCCTTATTGGTCCACAGACTACGACAGAAGGGACTAACTTCAGACAGGAGCCACCAAGGGTGCACTCTGTGGGGAACGGTTTGCAACAAGAGAACATGACCACTAGGGCCAGATGGCTTCTCGGGACTGCAGCTAGAGCCCAGGGGCTTTGAAGAATGGCTCAGAGGCCCATGCCATCCCTTGGAGTGGCATACTCAGTGAATGTCCCCCTAGTCCAGGTGGAGCCGATGATTCATTAATTCTGCAGATACGCCCTGAGCCTGGCATTGGTCATCGCCTGTTTGCCCTCAGACCTGTTACTTGTCCTTCCCCACTCTGCATCGCAGGTGTGGCTGGGTGTGGGTGGCTGTAGCATGCAGGGCTTCTGGGGTGCTTTCCCATCATGCCCTGCTACCTTTAATAAGAATAAGCAGAGACCACAGCAGTTGGCTCTTGATTAGTCATTCTTGGGCCCAACAACATGTGTTTTCAATGGATTAGTTCACTAAGACCTCTTGTACTATCACTCCCATTTTCCAGATGGCGGAACCGAGGTTTAGAGGTTTTACAAAGCTTGTCCAGGGCAATGCAGGTGATCCGTGGCAGAAGCAGGGGAGGAGTCAGACCTGAGTGACTCATGGCTCCCAGTCCAGTGTTCTTTCTCGTGCCTCCTGCCAACACCCCCATCCACCACTCCTAGATTCTACCCTGCAGCCAGCATTTGGTGGGGTCTCAGTCAACACATGTTGATCAGGTTGAATGTGTTCTTTGCCTTTAACCCTTACCTCCTCTATGCCTGGGTAGACACGACAGCCCTGAGTAGGGGCTTGTGTGCCTGAGCTGTTGTATCTATCTGGTATTTATCATCAGTGGAAACCCCCAGCACAAGTCAGTTCCCTAGATGGGCCCTCCATCCCAAGTGGAGTGAGCAACTGATAGTAGCCAGCAGAACTGAGACACACCGGTGTTTTAGAGGTGACTAATGACATTTTTTTTTTAAGATTGACTTCATTTATTTGGTTTTTTAAAAAATTTTTATTTATTTTTTTCAACTCTTATTTAATAAATATAAATTTCCAAAGTACAACTTTTGAATTATAGCAGCTTTTCCCCCCATAAGCTCCCTCCCACCCACAACCATCCCATCTCCCACTCCTTCTCCCATCCCATTCTTCATCACGATTCATGTTCAATGACGTTCTTTAAATGCAAGTGAATCTCAACCACAGCAATGCTGATGATGTCTCCCGTTCCTGTCATATTCTATCATTGCAAGACATTTTAGGGTGATTTTAAGGTATATCAATATTATTTTACTTGGTGAATTATAATTGTATACATGTATGGGGTACACTGTGATATTTTGACATATGTATACAATGTGGAATGATTTGATCTAGCTGATCAATCAACATATACATCATCTTGCTTACCTATCATTTTTGATGAGACATTTGAAATTTACAGTTATTTTGAAATATGCAGTAAGTTATTGGCTGTAGTCACCAACTGAATGACAGATCTCAAAACCTATTCCCTCCCCTCTATCTGAAACTCTGAACCGTTTGATGTACAGGGCCCCATTCCCTCCCTCCCCACCCCTGCAGCCTCTGGTAAAACAATTCTGCTCTACTTCTATGAGCTCAGCTTTAGTAGAGTCCACATACAAAGGAGATCATGTGGTATTTGTCTTTGTGTGTTCCATTGTACTTAGCATAACGACCTCCCGTTGCATCCACGTTTTTGCAAATGGCAAGATTTCTCCACCTTTAAGGCTCAATACTATCCTGTTGTGGATATATCCTACATTTTCTTTATCCATTTATCCACTGATGGAGATTTAGTGTGATGTTGTGTTTCAGCTATTGTGAATAATGTTGCAATGAACATGAAAGTGCGGATATCTCTAGGAGGTACCAATTTTACTATCTGGTGGGTGATAGTAGCATTCACTCTCCTGTCTTTATTGAATTTTTCATGTAGGTATTCTGTCAAAGTAAGAGGTGTTAAAATCTTCGACAATTGTTGCGAACTTCTTTGTCTCTAATCCTTTTGATCTTTGTGTCATGTATTTCTGAGGCTCAATGAGGCCCATCCACATGGGTACTTGATGTGTGCTGTGTTAGTTTTCTACTGCCAGGATAGCCAATGACAGCCATCTGAGTTGTTCATAATTTTGAAAGCTTTTAAAGAAACTGGGTCTAGGTTAAGAGCATGGCTCAACATCACCCAACTGGACGCCCATTCTCTGTCTACCTGGGACACACTGCCGGCCCCTCCCTCTCTCTATAGGAAGTCAGTTTTGCAGACAGGTTAAACCATGTCTTCCTTGTGCTGTTTTAATACGTGACGTTGGCCTCTGTCTGGGCTGATTCTCACCAGTTAGAGTCAAGGGCTGGTGGGACCCAAGTCAAGGACTCAGCCCTTGTGGAGGCCTTTGAACCCAGGCCTTTCTGATGATGAGCTTTGTGATCCAGGGTCAAATCCTGGCTCATCCTGATGTCTATAAAGTGGGATAAGAATGTCGCCTCACAAGTGTGTGCTAACTGATGGGAAGGATCGCTCAGGGTCCCAAAAGGGAAGAGAGGCTCACCCAGAGTGGGTGGCCAAGGAGCGTTTAATAGGGATGTGAGTAGGATTGAGGGAAACCTCCAGGGTTCGATATGGTATCTCTGGGCTAGCAAAAGAAGGGAGCTTAGCCCAGCCCTTTGCCCAGGCCGGGGATAAAGTAGCTGTAAGGAGAGGGCTGCCTGCCCGGAACTCTAACCCTTGGTAAAGAGTCAAGGCCAACTCATGTTGACCAGGCAGGAGAGACCCAGGACACATGCCCCAACTTCCTCCTCACCGGGGAGCTCCTGCTGTGGTTCCTAGGGGCCAAACCTGCCTAGAAGCATGGGCGCCCGAGGTACAGTCCAAGCAGGCTGCCTTCTCAGCACCAGGCAGAGCACAGCATAGAAACCAAGAAAAGAAATGGGGTGGGGGAGGGGGACAAAGACTAGACACTGCTCACAATCACGTCCTGCCACAGCGCTCCTATTACGGGCTGGAAAGTGGAGGCAAAGCTACTATGTACTCCAGCAAAGTTAAAATCCCTAGGACCTCCATGGGGTTTCTGGCCAGGCATATCCTAGGCAGCTGTCCAGTCCCCATTCTTTTATCCTGGTCTCCTCCACAGGCAGAATCCTTTCTGGCTCCCCAAAGAGCTAACCACCCCTGCTGTAATCATTTCTCCACAGTTGTATCTTAAGGGTTCATTAAAATGACTCCATTTGAATATTGAGCTGGATGGGGCCAGCTCTGCCTTGATTCCACAGGCTGTGCTGTGGTCTGCTACCCTCTGAACCACCCCACTGGCAGGATTGTTTGCACACCCTAAAATGCATTGGCTACTTGAATCTGTTATAAATTACCAGCCTGGAAATAAATATCGTATCTGGGTCCCCAGTAAGTAACAGATGCGTGAGTGCAGAGTGAGATAAATGTGTGCTGGATGCAAACCTCTTTCCCATTGCTCACAGATGGAGACAGGTCCAGGGCCGCTTTGCAGTCGATGTGTGTGTGTGTAGGTGGGACGGAAATGAACTCAGAGTTCTTTTAAGGTGAGGAAGTTTTCTGTTCTAGCTCTTGGCAAATCCCTAGAGAAGCCCCAATTGAGCGGTACATTTCCTTTTATCTCCTTTCAGAGGAGTCTCGTGGTTAGGATGTTTTCTCTTTGGGGACTGCGTGGGTTTCTGGAGGCCAGGGAAAGTCTCTTCACTCAGATGCAGCGTGGGGACAGGCACACCGCACACAGGCATGTATGCCTCCATTCGCCAAGAACTTGTCGGTGCTGACTGTCCAGGCAGACTTCCAGGTACTGGGGACACAGCCATGAGCAAGCTAGGTACAGCCCCACCCTGGTGGAGCTTCCATTCAACGGGGGCAGACAGACAAGAAGCAAGTAGGCAAAAGGAAAATAAAATATCAGTACCCTGTGAACAGGAAGCCAGGGAAACAGGTGTCAGGGTGGTCAGACAAGGGCTCTGTGTGGCAGTGACCGGCACCTGAGCAGAAGCCTGGATGGAGTAGAGAGCAAAGGATCCTGTTCTCAAAGGACAGACACAGCAGGCACGGGGAACGGCCAATGCCAAGTTCTCTGGGGCAGACATGAGTGCTGTTTCTAAAGAGAAGCAAGCGAGTGAGCAATGGAGAAAGTGGTAGGAAAACAGCAGATTGCTTCAAGGTTGAAACAGGAGTGGCATAGGTGTTGAGATGCCCAAATGAGGCCCGATTAAGAAACCAGTTCAACCATCACCTCCCCGGAGAAGACCCTGGCCTCCCTGGCTGAGTCAAATCCCTGGGCTGCTCCACGCCCTCCCTTGGTAGCTCTCGTCCCAGTTTCTTGATGTTTACCCGCTGCTCAGAAGCAGAGCCTGCATCCATCTGAGCCACTTGTGCATTTCCAGTGTGGTGTGCACAGCAGTAGGTGTCCCAGCAACACCTATTGATTGAATATTACACAGATCAGCAAATGAATGCACAAAATAGTGAAAACCAAAATGAGGCTTTATTTTTTTAAAGATTTATTGATTTATTTGAGAGAGAGAGACTGACTGACTGACTGACTGACTTCCGTCCTCCCATCCTCTGGTTCACTCCCCAAATGGCTGCAACGGTCACAGCTGGACCAATCTGAAACCAGCAACCAGGAGCTACCTCTGGGTCTCCCACATGGGGATAGGGGCCCTAGGACTTGGGCCATCTTCTACTGCTTTCCCAGGCCATAGCAGAGAGCTGGATGGGAAGTGGAGCAGCTGGGACTCGAACCAGCACCCATGTGGGATGCCAGCACTGCAGGCGGCAGCTTTTCCTGCTGTGCCACAGCACTGGCGCCTGAATGAGGGTTTTGTGCTTAAAATTTCATCCTGTTGAATTTCAAGCACATCAGAATCAACCAAACAATGGTTTCCTGCAGACTTTGTCTTCCATCCATCGGCTGCCTCAGCTTCACCTCAGAAACATGTTCATGCATATATTTCACCGGGCTTTGCTGAAAATTGCACCCAGTTCTGGGGGCAGGTCCCCTGGCCCGGGAGGAGACAAGTATAAAGATACGTATTGCAGCAACGTTGCTGAGTTTGTTGGGCATGTACAGAGCCCTGCTGGGCCACTGAGGAGGAGGAGTTCCCTTGGCCTCACAAAGCAGATTGCACTTGAAGAGCAGGGTGAGGGGCCTGCAACATAGGCTGCCTGGATTTGGTAGGAGGTTAGGGAGGGATCCCTGGAAGAGAGGCTGAAGAGGAGGTGGCCAGTTCCCTGCAGGTAGTGGGAAGGGATATAACACATTTGATGTGCAATGAGAATCTTGCTGGAGCAGGAAGCAGATGGGCTGCAGGGGCAAGATGGAGGAAAAAATACCAGCCAGATGGCCGTCCTGTATCCCAGGCCAGGGAGGATGAGTGACGGTGTGGATGGCAGAAGATGCAGACCTGAGAAACTGCATATTTCCAAGTTCTGGGGGAACGTTCTGTCTTTACCTTAAGTCTAATCCTTCCTGTCATCTGGTCAGCCCTGTCTGTTTTGAAGTGGAGGAATAGATGTGTTCTTCCTACCTTTGCATCTTATTACACTAACAAAGAAAGAAGGAAGGGAGAAGGAATGGACTTTTAGTTGTAGGCACAGAATAAATGGTATGCAGATAAATAGTAAAATAATAATAGCAACGACATATATGTTAAATATTAGAGGAGTACCTGGCACATAGTAACTCTCCTAGATTAATTCATTTCATCAGAATTCCACTCTGATATAAACATCCTTAGTGCTGTTTTAGAACCAAGATTCAAACCCAGGTGGTTGGGTTCGAGTCCTTGGTGCACATAGCCACTACACTGTGCTGCCTTCTAGTTGGCCTATCAACAGCTTCTTCACTGGATAATTGCTCTGAGTCTCATACTGTGCTAAGCTCCGTGGTGTGTGTGTGTGTGTGTGTGTGTGTGTTTTAACCTTAAGAGGCAGTGTTTATCCCAAAGAAGCTGACAACCTCACTAAGTAGATAGGATCACTCAAGCAAAGAGTTCAGGTGGGGCTGTTGATGGCCATGTGGTTAATCCAGCACTTCTGGCCAGGACGTTGGCATTGGGTTCATGCTGACAGTCAACTGGAAGGCACCTACTATTGATAGAGCAGATGAGAGACAGGGCAGAGAAATGTACAGGGATCTCAGAAACTGGTCTCTGCCTCAAGAAGTGGGTTAGAGCCTGAGAGATGCTGTTTATTGTACCATAAACCACACAGATGGAAATCCTAGCTTGTTTCCTGAAGAAGGGGTCATGAGGCAGCTCACCCATCTCAGCAGGACAGAAATACTGGTCAGCAACGTTTAGGACAAAGACAAGTATTCACCAAACCTCAGGATTTATTTTCCTTGAAAATGGTGGGCTGTTCATGGCACGGTGGCAATAAGCAATCTAAATGAAAGATCCTGGTGAACAAGACCCCAGCAGAAGGAACAGGCCATCAAGGAGGGAGGTGCCTTTCTCTGAAGGGAGGAAGGAACCTCCACTGTGATACGGCCTTGACTAAACAAGTTCAGAGTTGGTGAACTGAAGGGGCTTCCATAGCCTAGATAGCTCATGGCAAAAGCCTCAGGTGATTGCTGATGTCATAAATAAGAGTACCAATTGTTAAATCAACAACGGGAGTCACTGGGTACAGGCTCCCCATGTAGGATCTCTGTCCTTAATGTGTTTTACTATGAAACTTAAAAACAACACTACTAGTCGAACAATGCCCTATACCTTGTGCGGTTGTGTGAGTGCAGCCTGTTGAAATCCTTGCTTAGTATATACTAAGTTGATCTTCAGTATATGAAGGTAATTGAAAATGAATCTCGATGAAGGGCGGGATGGGAGAGGGAGTGTGAGAGGGGAGGTCCGCGGGAGGGGGGGGGGGCACAACAATACAAAAGCTGCACTTTGTAAATTCACATTTATTAAATAAAAAAATAAAAGAAAATGATGGGCCGTAAAGATTAACCACATTTCCAAACTGTCAGCAAACTCTCCATCCCTGGTGGCATTTGTGTTTTTATTGATTAGTTCATTCATGTAGTTACTAGTTGTACACAATGTTGTGTCTTCAGAACTTGAACTTCTCAGTGCAATGTATTGCATCTTGTCACAATCAAGGGAGCCTGCATGTATTCCATACTCAGGCAAAATAGAGGGTCCCCTTCGACTTCTTCTCTAGTGATTATGGTTATGGGGCCTGATGGTAATCCCACCCCAGAGATCAGCAGTGCCTCACAGGTACTCGTGAAGGTGTAAGGGAAATCAGAGACTGTTTTTTTTTTTTTTTTTTTTGACAGAGTGGACAGAGAGAGAGACAGAGAGAAAGGTCTTCCTTTGCCGTTGGTTCACCCTTCAATGGCCCCCGCGGCCAGCGCACCACACTGATCCGATGGCAGGAGCCAGGTACTTATCCTGGTCTCCCATGGGGTGCAGGGCCCAAGCACTTGGGCCATCCTCCACTGCACTCCCTGGCCACAGCAGAGAGCTGGCCTGGAAGAGGGGCAACCGGGACAGAATCCAGCGTCCCAACCGGGACTAGAACCCGGTGTGCCGGCGCCGCAGGCGGAGGATTAGCCTAGTGAGCGAGGCACCAGCCCAGAGACTGGCATCCCCTCCAGTTTCCTTTTTCTAATTGGTCCTAACGGGAAGAATCCACAATAGAATTGTTTCCTCGTGTTTTCTTCTCTGGGTACCCTGGCAGGGTCTCATGCCGTGCTCAGCAGATAATTGTGGCCAAGGAAAGACATTTTAGGGGTTGATGTCCCCCCTAACATCTCCTTGCCTGTCTGTTTTTTGGAGCATGAGCATAAGGGATGCCCACCTAGCGTGTGCTCCTGGGGCTACTGCTCCAAGGCAAGCCTGTACAGGACGCTCCCAAGTAGCCATGACAACAGCTAGCATTGAGAGACTTGAGCTTGACGCGCATCATCTGATTTACTCTTTGCCACTTCTCTGGGAAGTAGCTAATGCTATTCCCATTTTGCCTACAAGGAAAGTGAGGCTTGGAGAAGATGTTTATTAATACTGTGCTGTTGGCAAGTTTTGATTGGAGACCCTCCTCTGTGCTTTTCTCCTGTTATCCAGGGGTATCATCGACCTCGACACTACATTGCAACTCAAGGTAAGTGCCCTTCTCACCTGGTGCCTTGGGGAGACCTCAAGGACCCAGGGAAGATGACTCTGGGAAATAGTGGGCAGGTGGGTGTCCTCTCCTCTGCTGCTTTTCCTCCTCTCCTTCACTGGAGGAGAGGAGTGAGTTTCTAGCACACATACACACACACACACACACACACACACACAAAAAAAAACACTGAAGCGTGGGGCTGCAGAGCCTCCCTCCAGAGGTTCCAGAGAAGGAAGGAAGCTGACGAGATCAGCTATAGGAGGGAGGTGCCCAGGGCACAGCAAAAGCATCAGCCTCCGACAGTGCCATTAGCATCTACTGGAGAGATCTGAGCTGACGGTGCCTCTCCTCCTCCGTGGGCGCATGCCTATAAGAGAGATGCAACCAACTGCTCTGGAAACCACCTTGGATGCGTGTAATCAGGAGGCTTAAAAATGACCATGCCCTTCAAACCCTCCTGGGAATAAATCCTATAACTAATTATAGATAGAAACATTCTTCACAGTCTTATCTCCAAGAGCAAAACAGTGAAAAATCTGAAATGGCCAACAATGGGTAGCCTGGTTAAATAAAGTGTGGTCCTTCTGTATTATAGAAAATGATGCCGTAATGCAAGACACCATGCCTAGGGAGAATCTGGAAGAGCATTGGACAGTGCCTCTGATAGATATGATACTTGTTGCAGTGAACACAGACATAGTTAAAGAGTAATATCCAAAGAACTTGCTGTAGACTGTCGGCTCCTATTTCCCACTCCAGGTCTTTTTCTTCTTCCTCCTCCTCTCTGTTCAGGTTCTCGACAAGTGCTTCCAGCATTTGTGAAGCTCAGAATTAAGCACACCATGCTTTTGCTCTCAGGATCTGGTTGCGGATAGCTCTCTACCAGCTCCACCCCCCATTTACTTCCTGTCTCTCATTGAGCCAAGTGTTTGGAAAGCCCTATATGCCACAGCCAATAAGATAGCCTAGACAAGGGGGTGGGGAGAGGAAAGTGGGAAAGTGGAGAGTGGAGCTGGTGGGAGGATCTGAACAAGAGAATGACAGCAGGGAGAGGGGCCGTGGCCAGCCTTCCAGGAGAGGCTCTGTGTAGACCGAGAACGTGTGCAATGTGGCTTTTCTTATCCATTCTGTGATCTGGCCCCATAGGGCTCCATCTCAACTACTTGATGCCCTAACAGGGATCACCTGGCCTTACTCTTGCTCACCTGCATAGAGCCTTGACCAGTCAACCAAGAGGGCCAAACCCCTTGGGGGCTTCCCTGCACCTGCCGTCTCTAACTCTATCACCTTCTCCCTTGGCAGGTCCCATGCAGGAGACAGTAAAGGATTTTTGGAGAATGATCTGGCAGGAGAACTCCGCCAGCATCGTCATGGTCACGAACCTCGTGGAAGTGGGCAGGGTAAGCTTCTCCCGCAGTCGCCTGGGCAGAGGGTGTGGGAGGTGCTCTCCCGAGCACCCCAGTTCCCTGCAGCGTGCTAAGTGCCTCCTAGTCAAGATGTCAGCCTCCCAGCAGCCTCCAGGACAGACATCCTCACCCTCGCTCACATGCTGGCCGCCTCCTTTCCGTCTGCGCCCCTCATCCTCTTTTCCACCCTCACCCTGTTGATGACGTCATCTCATTTTTGAGAAAGTCAAAGCCATCCGACGTGAATTCGCTCATCCTCACCCCAGAAAGCTTCCATCCCTCTTGCATCCGCAGCTGTCTTCTCATTCTCCCGCTCTGATATGAAGTTTGGCCACAAGAAGGGGCTGCTTTTGTTGACCTCAAATGGCCATTTCTCATGGCTCCACCCGACACAGCAGAAGCTGTGACTCTGCCTATCCAAAGGTGAGCCTGGTGCCTTGAGTCATGGACTCTGCCCAACAGTGCTTTCAACTCCCCCTCGGACTTGAAAAACAAGGTTCTTTCTCATTGCTGGGTTATTCCCTGGCATACAGATGCGCTCAGTACCGTCCAGATTTAAAGATAAAACAGCCGAGCAGAAGTTATTCTCGCATCCCCACTTTTCTGCCAGACTTGGAAGACTGGCGCAGGGCTCTGCTCCTTCACCCCATCCTCTTCCGCTCTCCCCACGCGGCTGCTCCCCCATTCCATCAGCAGAGACGCTGTCGATACGGCTGACATCCCTCGTGCTGACCGAGCCAATCATCACTCTCTTTTCTCACCTTGCTCCGCCTCTCAGCAGCATCAGGCCCTTTGTTTCCCGCTCTTTCCCCCATGACCTGCATCTCTCGATATTCTTCAGGGCTCAGGCCTTGATCTCCTTCTCTGCTCTGCCTCCACTCTCTCCCAAGTCATCCATGACCACTGCTAGGGCTTAGAAATGGGACTGCTATGCCCAGCTTGCTTTTGCCTGCTTGGTTCACTGTGGCATGTGGGTCGGTGGGTGGCTGGGTTGAAAGGTAGGGCATGCAAACGCCATAACTGAGAAGGGCCTCTCTCCGTCTCATGTGGAACTAACTAAAGAGTGGGCAGGTCTGATTTTGTTTGGGCAAAAACCAGATAATCCATGCAGATAACGCGGCTAAGCCTCCGTGAATGCGAAGAAAGGGGAATTTTGAGCGTTGTAATCCAGCAAAGGGTGTGGACATCTCATGGCCTAGCAGAAATGACCTCATCCCCTGCCCAGCTCTACAGATGAGGAAGCAGACTAAGCGGGAAGGAGGAGCCCCTCAGTCCCCAGCCAGAGCCTGGACGTGAAGTCTGACCCTCGACTCTCATTCTGGCGCTCGTAATTCCTCCATTCAGACTGTTCCCCGGGGACTTAGGCCCAGGCTACAGCTGCTTCAGACAATAACAGCCAGCCTGGCCCACAAAATTTGCCACAATAGAAACAAATTCCCATGATGAATGGGCCATGAATCTAAATTCGATTTGGGGATGAGAAAAAATCTCTTTTCGCTCGTGGCCTGGCATGATGCTAAACACATTCCGGAATTCTGTCTCCCAGCACATGTGTAAAGCGGTGTTCCTGGTGGCTGTTTAGGTTGGCTGGGCTTGCGTCCTGGCCCCATCCCTTGCCCACTGTTGGCCTTGAACCATTTTCTTAGCCTCCCTCTGTTTTAGATTCCTCATCTGTAAAATGGGCATAGTATTATCTGCTGCATAAGGTGATGGTGATAAGGAACTGACATGAGACTGGTGAAGCATTAGTAGACTCTTGAGTAAGCAGCACGAGGCATGGTGAACAGTCAGGAGGGGTTGGCTGTGGCGATGAATCGGAAGCTGGGGCTCAGAGCGGCTGCACCCCTTCCTGGAAGCTACACAGCTTCTGAGTGTTAGGACCAAGCCAGGAATCCGTTTGCCCCCAGTCCTTGTTGTACTCTACCAGTGTTTCCCTACGTGGGTTCTGTGGGATGCCAGCCTGCAGGATGCTTAGTGAGAAGAGGGTTCCCTGGTGAAATCCGTTTGGGAAATGCTGTGGCCTCCGTGCCCCTCTGGGAGAGCCCTGACACACGTGAGCAGTAGCACATGTAAGCAGCTGAGGAGTCCCGTAGCAGAGCGGCCCGCTTAACGTTGTTTAACCCAGCATTTCCCAAGCTCATTTGACCACAAAACCTTTTTTTTGTTTGTTGTTTTTGTTTCTTGTTTTTTGTTTTATTTACCTAACACCTATTAGCGCCCAGCGGGACACACTGTGGGAAACGCCACTCTAGGCCGTGCGGCGTCCCCCGGAATGGTAATAATGCTTTTGTTCTTCTAAGGGGAAACCCGTGAGCTCTTTTTCCTCTGTGGAGCGGGACTGACAAAGTCCAGTGTGGGAATGGCTTTCGTAGCACCTGCACCCACTGCCGGGGCCTTCCCCTTGAGCCTGGCTTCCATTCCCCAGCTGAGAGCCTTCCTCCTTCCGGCCCTCCCAGGGACCACCTCTTAATTATGTCCCTCTTCCAAACCACTTCCGCTTCCAGCTCCTCACCGTCTCCCACCCTGTATTCTCATCCCAGCTCAGCTGGTGTCACTCGGCTGCTCCAGCCTGAGCATAGAAAGGGGACACAGCCAAAGGGAGGAAACTGACCACACGTGACCTTGACCTTGGACAAGTCGCCCAAACCTCCAAACGAGCATGATTTCCTTCTAGAAAATGGGGCAGATGAGACCCCCTGTTTCACCTGGTTCTGCTGATCACTTGGTGTGAACAATGCTCTTGAAAATCCTGATTTCCACAAGATGACAGTGCTTTGTTTCTAATGGCTCCAGAGCCTCTGGGAGTGAGCTTGGCCTTGTGCACTTTGCGGGTCCCTGGCCAGCTGACAACCCCGGGGGCTGCGGAGCCACCAAAGTTGCCCTGGGGTTCATTGGAGCAGGAAGGCCACAGAGGCGGCGGCTGCTTCCACGCGGTCAGCTGCTCACCCAGCCTCATCGCTGCCCCTTCTCTGTCTCTTACCTGGCCGCAGGTGAAGTGTGTGCGGTACTGGCCGGATGACACGGAGGTCTATGGAGATATTAAAGTCACCTTGATCGAAACAGAGCCCCTGGCGGAGTACATCATCCGCACCTTCACGGTGCAGAAGGTAAGCCCGCTCCCTCCGCTGTGGCCAGGGGCGGCCCTCCGCCCTCCACTCAGCAATCACAGTGACTCGGGCTCTGCTCTGTGTCCAGCTCTGCACTTGGCACCAGGGAGGGAGCAGGGAATGGAGTCAGCCGCAGTTCATGATGTGTCCGTGGGACCCATGGAACAAGGATGCGTTGTGCTAAAAGCCACAATGGAGCATGCAAAGAGTGCAGACGGAAATCCAAAGAGGGTGGGGGGACCAGAGAGGCCTCCCCGAAGAGGCGGCGTTTGGGGAGAGTGTGAGGGTAAGGAGGCAGCAGCCAAGGGAACGGGCAGGAGGAAGACTGTCCCAGGCAGAGGGGAGGAAGCAGGCAGTCTGGAGGGCGACAGACCCCGCTGTGTGCTAGGCCCGCGGTTCTCAGCCGGGAGTGATGGGTTCCCTCAGGATACTCCTGAGTGTCGGGAGCCATGTTCTGCCATCAGAGCTCAGCAGGGGAGCAGGCCGTGACTGGTGTCTGGAGAGTCAGCACGGCATAGCACAGGCCCAACCAGAGAGGCTTACCCATCCCGCAGCATCCACAGTGTCAGGGCTGAGAAATGCTGGTCTGGACGCTGGAAGGAGGCCAGGGTTGCAGCAGTTTGACGAACAATGCATGAAATCGCAAATAATCTGATTTATAAAATTAATTACGATGTAATCATTGTTATTGTATGGTTACTGTTATAGAGACAGCTAACATTTCCTTAATAAGCCAGGAGCGTTTCTCAGTGCTTTACACAGATTAACTCATTTAATCATCCCCAAGCCCTTCATTCTACCTGTTAGATATTTGCTCTTATTGTCCCCATTATACAGATGAAGAAACTGAGACAGTGTTTTAAGAGGGTTGTCCACAGCTGCCCAGCTGTGTGGTGGAAGAACCAGGAGTCACTCCTGGCCCCTGAAACCTACTGCTCCCTCGCTACACTGCATACCTGATGCTACATAGTTGCCATTTTCCAGAAGCAACTGTTCAGCTGGCCACGTGACCAAAGGCCTGAGGGTGCAGAAACACTGGGAGCTGAAAAGCTTTGAAAGCTACACCTTTAGGGTTTGGATGTGTCCTTGCAAGGTCAAAGCCAGCTGCTGGAGCCCAGAGCACGCCCAGGGTCGCTCCTGTATGCACAGCGTAGTCTGCTGTGCAGGATTTGCTCCTGGCAGCTCCCTCCTCCCCAGCCGTGATGCTCCTGCAGTCTACAGATCCTGGTGCAAAAGTGAGGAAGTGTGGGCGCTTCCTCCACCAGAAACAGTGGGTGCTGGCCTGCTGTCCTTGGTCAGAGCCAGAGGCGAGGATTCAGGTGCACCTTTATAGCAAGGGAGCGCTCTCAGGGGAAACTGGTAGGAGGCGGAGGGAAACCAGAGAGGGAAGGCTGAGGGGCTGAGCAAGGCCAGAGACTCCAGGGACGTCCGGCCTGGGCCTGATCCACGTGGCGCCTCCGGAGCTTCCACCACTCCTCATTGGTCTCCTCGAGGCAGGGGAGCCAGGCTCCGGAGGCCCATGTGGAGATCCAGAGCCTGGATACAGAAGCCGGAGCCGCAGCCAGCAAAAGCGTGCTTGGGAGTTAGGGTCCTTTCTCAGGCTGCCTTCTTGGTTTTTCTTTTAAACAATCACCAGAGACAAAGGTACCCCTGGAGAGCCGCCCTCCAAAGACCCTGAGGGCCTCTGAGGCTTAGCTCCGCTCAGCCAGCCTCTCCACCGTGCACAGGCAGGCCCCCAGCAAACACAGCCAGGGACTTCAGCTCCAAGTCGCTTCCTGAGCTGGGGAACCAGAAGTAACAAACAGGAAGTGTGTCCACCCTTGGAGACGGCGCGGTCCCCCCAGGGAGAGAGGAGCCTTGATAAAGAGCCGAGCATAGGTGGTGAGGCCCCCAGCGAGGGCTGCGGGGCTGGGCTGACTTGGAGGATGGAGGAGAAAACAGCCAGCTATGCTACGAAAGCCACTTTCTCCTCCCCCAGCTCAGCCCACCCATCCCTGCCTTAATCCCAGTCTCTCTTCCCTGCCTCCTGGAGGACTCTGCCTCTTGTCCTGCTCCTTAGTTTGCGTTTCCTGGACGTGGAGTCTGCAGCAGCAGGGACTTGGGTGCCCTGAATCATGTGTTGAAGAGCTTGCAGGAGGGAGGCTGGACAGGGTTGGAGAAGGGGCCCAGCAAGGACGCGGCCTCAGCCAGAGCCCTGCTCGGTGAGATCCCATGGCCACCCTGGGCTATGCGTTGCACTGCCCACTGTCCACTGCCCAGTCTTGGCACGAAGGGTCTCTCTACCCCATAAGAGACACCAGTTATTCTGCTTCTGGGAGATCCCTCAGTCCTGGGCAAACTGGGCAGTGGACAAAGCCGCTTGGTCACTCCAAGTCTCCATCATCACTGAAGGCCATCTGTGTGCCCCTCCCCAGCGCCCTGAGGAAGGGGGCTCCTGTGCAGCCAAGAGCAGCTTTCTGAAGATGGGCTGAGCTGTCTTCAGGAAAGACTCAGAGTATGGGGGGTACCCGACCCAGGGGCAGGGACCCGAGGGGGCACCAGCAGTGCCTTCTATACACCCACCCAGATCCACACTGCCCACCGCAGCTGCCGGGCCCTCCTGTGGTGCAGGCAGAGGACGCCCTGGCCCTTCCGTGCAGCATCCTGCAGCTCCCCCCTGGCTCCCTGCAGCCTTCAAGATTAACGTTAACCTTGCGTAGCCTCAGTTTGCTCATCCATAGAATGGAGATAATAATCTGAAGATATGAGGATTAACTAAACTAATACATTGAAGTGTTCAGAGGGATGACTGGTACATCACCCATGCTTGGGTGGTCACAGAATCACTCTGAGCAGTAGCACTTGTGAGCCCTGTGCAGGCCATGCCCTCTCAGGACAGCTGGGTGGCCTGCCTGTGCCCTGGTACAGCAGGTGCAGTACCCCATAGTGCTGGGCTGGGGGAGGGAGGGCAGCAGCTGGAGGAACGGAGACCCCTTCTCTTCTCAGAAAGGCTACCATGAGATCCGGGAGCTCCGCCTCTTCCACTTCACCAGCTGGCCTGACCACGGCGTCCCCTGCTATGCCACTGGCCTCTTGGGCTTCGTCCGCCAGGTCAAGTTCCTCAACCCCCCAGAAGCTGGGCCCATAGTGGTCCACTGCAGGTAAGCCTCCCCGCACCCTGCCCAATCACACCCACTTGGGCAGGTCTGCTTTATGGGCAAAGGAGATGCTGTCTTGCTTCTATTCCTGCAAGACTCCCCTGCCTGTGTCCCCGATGGCCAGCCAAGTTCCAGGAGACCCAGGCTTCAAGGTCTAACAAGAGCAAAATCATTGTTGCAGTAAAACAGTAAAATTGCAGAGGCTGTAGGGTGGGTGCTGGCAGCATCCGCTTCGTCTACTTCATCCGCTTCTCATCCAGCTTTGAGAGGGAGGCATTATTATCACTCCCATCACAGATGGGAAAACCAAGATGCTGAGAAGGGAGATGCAGGTGCCACATGCCCAAGCCGGGATAGGCACCATGCTCTTCTCCAGACACTCGCCCCCGTTTCTGCAATGGGAGGACAGGGCGCCTTGGCGGAAGCAGGGTTCGCTTTACTGGCATTCTGTTCAAAAGCAATTGCTGGCCTGCAGCATCCTCAGTAGAGACTACACGGACAGCACAGACAGTCACAAGAAGGAGCTGTGTCTTACTCATCTTTGTATGTCCACTCCTAAGCCTAGCACCTGGTACATCCTAGGTATGGTGTGACCGGGTCACACAGCTACACAAGTTACATGCGTTATGCTTTTTAAAGATAGTCGCATGCCAGGTGTGCATGTCGTCAGTGCTGTGAGATAGGCCAATTTAGTGTTGTGTCATTTTATGGATGAGAGTAGAGGAAACCAGAGAGGTTAAGTCATTTACCTGAAGGCACACAGGTGATGGGTAATAGAACCAGGAGTCTCTTCCAAATATCGTGTTTAATTACCGTGTGATGGTGAAATAAACATAGCTCAGTCCACACAAGGTCCCTCCGAGGAGGCATGTTGTGGCAGGAAACCGCTCACAACCACCAACCAGCTTGCTCACGGATGATGGATCCAGGGTTCCAACCCCTCTGGGGCTGGTTCTTTTCCCCTAAATGGTGTTGAGGATAAGACAGGGAAGACGAGTTGGGTAAGTGACCCTTTGTGCTCCCTCCTAGACATGGCTCCCCCTGGCAAGTCCCTTTTGGTGGGGTCGGGGGTGGGGGGTGGGGGGAGGTGTTCCGAGACAGGAATAAGTCAGATTTCACTTGGTGATAACCACGGCAACTGTATGTTTTAGAGGTATGTTCTCTGATGCTGAGTTGTATTTGGTTTTACTTTTCCATTTTAATTAACAAACTCTCATAAAGCTCCTAAAATACCGTGTGAAACAAGCTAAGGAAGAAATAAACTGTGGCACTTGACCAGCAGTGAAGACTCGGCTTCCCGTGGGCTCACATGTCCACTGTGGTGGTGGCCACTGGCCCGTGGTCTGGGCATTTATGATCAGCCAGCATTGCTTTTCCATCTCATTCCATCTCTCTTCTCTTCCTCTTTGTATTTCCTGTGAGTTCCACGCTGATAAAGACATTTGTTTCCACAAGGGAAGCAAGTAGTGGGCCTCCTGGCCTGTCCTTCCCAAGCTGTGTATCTTTAAGGCAAAGGTTCTAATGTTTTTTAAGATCTTATTTGAAAGGCGGAGGTACAGAAAGAGGGGTAGTAGGGTGCAGGGGGTGTAGGGGGAAGCGGGAACAATGCCCAAGGCTGGGCCAGACAGAAGCCAGGAGCTAGAACTCTATCTGGGCCTCAACATGGGTGCAGGGGCCCAAGCACTTGGGCCAGCCTCTATTAGCAGGGAGCTGGATTGGAAGTGGAGCAGCTAGGACTCGAAACAATGCCCATACAGGATGCTGGCCTTGTGAGTGGCAGCTTAACCCAGTGCACCACAACACTGGCCCAAATGTCCTGTTTGTCTCTGGTTGAGCACCATGGTGTTAGAACTCAGCACCAGAAGGGCTCACAGTGGTCCACTGTGGTATCCTTGAGCCCTCTTGCTATTTTGTAATCTGAGATTTTCTTGACAAAGCCATCAATGACCAGAAATGAAATGTGTATTGGGAAACTTGACACAGGGCACAAGTCTCATTGCTGCCAGCTACTCCGTTTAACCAGGCTCTGGATTCGTGGCCCAGGGGAAAGGACAAGTTCATGGAACTGTGGGATTCTCTCTGCCTTTGGGAGAGCTCAGGGGAAGGTGGCTTCTGCCTTCTCTCTGTCTCATCTCCACTCAACTTTCCTTTACTGCTTCTGTCCATCAACTCATTGACTGCAGAATAGAGGAGGAAAGACATGCTCATTAGGCACCTCAAGTGGGCCATGCGCAGTGTCAGCTGCTGTGTGCCGTGTAAATGGGTTATCTTTATCTATCAGATGCACACTCCTGTCTAAGCATGTGCTGTAGATATTAAGAAAGGAAGGGTGAGAACACACGCTCTGGAGCCAGACAAGCTTAAGCTCTGTGTGCCTCGTTTTTCTCATCTGTGAAACAGGATGAGAAACTGCCCAATGACTACAAAGGGGAAATGTAGGTAACATTTGTAAAGCAAGTAGAGCAGTGTCTGGCACTTCGTAAGCACTGCCTAAGTGTTTGCTCATTGAGTCAAAATAAAACAGCCCCCAAAGGCAAGCATGACCCTTGCCCTTCACAAACTCAGAGCTGGGGCTCTAAGATCAGCCGCTGTTCCAGTGTCTCCCAGAGCAGCGGGATTCTGACTGTCGTGTCCAACATCAGCAGTCTGCTGCCTCAGGCGCAGAGCTGCATGGTGGGGGCCTCGCCAGCACTCGTCCCACCCCGCCAGCCTTCACCCAGACCACCCTCTCTTCCAGTGCTGGAGCCGGGAGGACCGGCTGCTTTATCGCCATTGACACCATGCTTGACATGGCGGAGAACGAAGGAGTGGTGGACATCTTCAACTGCGTGCGTGAGCTCCGGGCCCAGAGGGTCAACCTGGTACAGACAGAGGTGAGCCCTGGAGCACTGAAGAAGCAGGTGGAACAGAGAGACCCATGGTGGGGCCATGCTGCCCCAAGGGACCTTGGGTACAGGGGAAGTAGAAGTGAACACGTAGGCTGCCCTGGTAAGACACCCTAGAAGCTAGGATGCCCCAGCCAAGCAGGGTCTTCCACTAGCCGACGAACCGTGGCACGTTCCCTACTGCTGAAGTCATCCAAGCCACCAATGGCAACTTTTGGGACTTCCTTAATCTTCCTTGGGTGAAGGACCAGAGAGAAAGGAAAAGCCAAGATTTACTGATGGCCTACTGTGCGCCAAACACTGAGTCAGTGCCTCAGTTACTGAGTACTTGAGCTAAATACTGTGAGTTCCAAGAATGAGGATACACAGTCAGACCTTCCAGCATCTCTGGTTGGAGAGCCCAAGACCGAGGGCAGTGGGAGGGCGTTCATCCTCAGTGTGACACATCTCCTGTGAGCTGGGCAGCGTGCATTCCCTATTTTATCAATGAAGAAGGTGTGAAAGTGTGTCACTAAGCCAGTCCGGGGAAGAACTTGGGACCATGTGAGCCCATGCTGTTTGCCCCAGGTCACCCGCCTATCCCCTTCCACCATGCCTTGGCCTGTGCTTCCTGTAATGGGCCCACATTCTGGTTCTAGTGAAGACTGCGACAGATTAGGGGCTGCACACAACACCAGCCCTGCCAAGGGAAATTGGCTGTCACTTTGGGCACAGCCAATCACTCTGGCTCTTCAGTGAATATCCCTAGTGCCAGGTATGTCTACACCGTAAAATCCTGCTGCAGCCTCTGAGCTGACTCACATTGGCCAGGCTCCAGGTTTTTCACACTCAAGCCAGGGAAACTGCCTCCCAAGGTCATGCGTGCAGAAGGCAGGCTCGCTGTTGGGGTGAGACACAGGGTCCTCACCACCTGGCAGAAGAGACATATTTCAGTGCAGGTGCATTGTGAGGCATCTGGATAATGCTTGACACAGATAGGCCCAGTTCTGCAGGGCGAAGATCACTCAACAGACATGTACCAAGGTCTCACAGTAACAACTTCTGCCTAGTGTGTGTTAAGAGGGGTCTTTCCAGGAGAAAAAAAAAAAATGGAATCTACAGAAAAGGTGGGGGGTGGAATTTCAGAAGAGTAGGGCAGCTACAAAGAATTGAGATGAGAAAGGGCACAGTGCCTCTTTTAGGACTGGGCTCTGAGACAAGGGTTGAGGGCAACCAAATTCTTTGGGAGATAATCCCAAGATACACTAGTTGGATTGTGGAAAGTGAGACAGAGGAGGGAAGGAAGCAAAAAAAAGGGGGGGTACTCTATCAGGTTAAGCATGTAGGCCGCTGGGGCCTGATCCTGGTAGAGACCTTGGACTCGGAGAGACAGTGTGGAAGTTTTATCCCCCAGTATCCCATCTAAGGGGTTTTTATTCCCAACTCATGTCTCTCATTGCTGGAGGCCTGCTTCCCACACCAGTAACTCGTTGACCCTGCTGGCTGTCCTGCACACAGGACAAGACTCCTGGGACCGAAAAGGAAGCCTTCAGCAGCAAATTTCAGGTATTTGCTGCAAGCAGCTTTGAGGAGGTAAAAGTGAAAGCTGAGGAGGTGGGCAGGCAGCAAGAGCACCTGCTGCAAGTCCAGAAGTTGTGCATGGTTATCAGTGATTCTACTGTTCTGTCTTAGACAAGGAATAAAGCTCACTGTAGCTCAGACAGTATGAAACATGGAGACTTGGCCTTCACGTCACAGGGTCAGGAAAATAAAATAAGGATTCTTCGGTATAAATCAGGCCTTTATTCACAGCTGCAAAGTGAAGTGTGGACAAGAAACGCCAGGCCACAGTTCTCATCTCGTGCCCTGTCCTCTCTGCCCTGGGCTCTGCAGGAGCAGTATGTGTTTGTGCATGACGCCATCCTGGAAGCGTGCCTCTGCGGCAATACCGCCATCCCCGTGTGCGAGTTCCGCTCACTCTACTACAACATCAGCAGGCTGGACCCCCAGACGAACTCCAGCCAAATCAAAGATGAATTTCAGGTATGAGCAAATCCCAGGCTCCATGGCTGGCTGGGTTTGGGCTGTTACAACAAGTTTCACTAGGCTGGGTGGCTGAAACAAAGGACTTTTACGTACTGCATTTCTGGATGCTTACAAGTCCAAGGTGAAGCTGCCCCCAGATTCAGTGTCTAGGGAGGGCACACGTTCCTGCTTATGGACAGGTCCCCTGTCGCTGTCTCTGCATGGCAGAAAGCAGAGAGGAGGCAGGTTCTTAGGTCTCTTCCCATACTGACCCTATCCACGGGGGCTCCACCCTCATGACCAGTCTCCTCCCAATGCCATCGCATCAGGGATTAGGATTGCAGTGTCTGATTTGGGGCCAGATGCAAACATTCAGTCCCTGACAGTGACCCCGCCAGCATCTGTGGTTCTGGGTACATGTGTAGGTTTTTGTGAGTATCTGTTTTCACTGTCTGTAGCTCTAGACAGTGACAGATTGCATCCCAGAACCTAAGATGCAGAGCCATGAGCAACCTTGAACCAATAAGTGCTTAGACTCACAACCATGTTTGTGAACTGAGAGCTTATTTAGCTCTAGTCCTGGTTGTGGACAGATAGAAGTTTGTACACATGGGTGTGAATTTTCTTAGTATTTTCTCAGTGTGCTCCAGGGACCAGCAGCTTGTTAGAAATGCAGACACTCAGGCCCCACCCAGACCTACTGAATGAGAACCTGCAGTGTGACAAGATCTTAGGTGAGAAGCCCCACCCAAGAGCACAGCTCAGGTATCACAGCTCCCACCTAGGAGCCCGTGTGGTCAGAGTTGTGGCAATTTTGGTCTAAGGGGCCTGAATGGTGTAGCTCACTGGGTGCAGAAAAGCCAGTGTGCAGCCAGCCCTTCATCCCAAGATCAGTGCTAGGGCCATACCTGGGCAACAGGGGCTGAAAACCAGATAGCAGGACAGCTCCAGGTCTGGATTCAAGTTCGTGGGTGAATGGATGTTGGGTCCATGATTCCAAAGGCAGTTACCCTAGCCAGGCCAATACATTAATGCTCCTGCAAGCAAAGAGAGAGTATTGGTTTAGAGCAGAGAGAGAGTGCTGAGGGATGGAGGAAACAGGATCCTGGTCATCGCACCCTGCTTCTTGCCAGTTGGCTGAGGCAGTTCAGCTCTGGCCCCAAATGTGCAGGACTTACTCTGCAGGGCACAAGCCCCACAACTGACCAGACCTGAAAGAGACTGCCCCTCAGTGGTCCCCCATCCATCCTGGGCAGCTCGTTTAAGAATCCTTTCTAAGAAGAGTGCTGGTAAATCATTGCTGTCACTCTATGACGTCTCAAAGTGATGTTTAATGCCTGTTAGTGTCTTCCTACTCCCATCTCCCCACAACCTCCTGGCCAGCCCAGTCTTAAGCGCATCTGTCTCTTCTGCTCATGAACCATCACTGGAGTAGCGCCTGCCTGTTTACCTTTGTGTCCCACAGACCCTCAACATCGTGACGCCCCGTGTCCGGCCCGAGGACTGCAGCATCGGACTCCTGCCCCGGAACCATGATAAGAACCGCAGCATGGACGTCCTGCCTCTGGACCGCTGCCTGCCCTTCCTCATCTCAGTGGATGGAGAATCCAGCAACTATATCAACGCAGCACTGATGGATGTAAGCAGAGAGCTGCCGGCTGGCATTCCAGGCATAGCTTTCCCCACTGTGGAGGGGGCTGGACTCCAGGGCTCTGACTCCACCATCTGGCCCCCTAGCTTCTAGCCTGCTGGCCCCAAAGACCTTTGATCCCCTCAAGGCTCTGTTCCAAACTTAGATATAAGCTGTGCTGTTGGCTTCTTCACTCACATAACAAGCCTGGAAACAATAGACCAAAAGCTTAAGGAGGCTCCCATGACAGCACAGTAAGGCTACGGAAGTCTCTGTTCCAGGACATAGAACACAAGATGCTCTCCCAGGCCCCTTTACCCACACCATGTCTAAGGTCATGTCCATCCAGTCCATGTGGCTGTCCCGTCAGAACACATAACAACATGGGGTGCTCTCTTCTGAGGTTAAGCCCAACTACTTCTCTGACCTCTGATCCACCCAAACTTCTCCCCCTGAGTCCTAGGGATTGCAAGCAGGAAGAGTATTGGAGGTCAAGGGCTGCCTCTGTACTCTAGGGGGTTGCCCTGGCCTTTTCCCACAGGTGCCCAATTCCTCCCTGAAAACCCTGGCTCTACATGGAGAGGCAGGGAGTCTTGCTCATAGCAAATCCTGAAGGGGCAGAGAAGAACTCTGCCATCAGCTTACAACCTTCCAGGTTCAATGTGTGCACATGTGTGTATGTGTATGCATGCATGTGTGCCATGTTTGTGTGGGGAGTGAAATATACAGTCACCAGGGTACCCACACTTTCACGTTCATCCTAGCTTTGCCCTCCACGTGTCCCAGCACTCCCTCTCTCCTCCCTTCTCCAAGTAAAGATCAAACCAGCCCCTGGCCTCTGTTGAGTAGGTCAGATGCTGCCTGGAGTCAGGAGCCTTCTGCCAAGCTCTGAGGCTGATTGTATTCTCTTAGTCCATCGGGTATTTCTCCTGTGAGCCATCACGGGGGCCTTTGCCTTTCTTACATTAAAAAAAGAGTCCTTATCTGTATTCCGGCTCGGTCTGTGCATTATCTGGTAACCATAGCAGCTTTGCTTCTAGCAGAAAAATATGAAGTCCTCTGGGTTAATTTTTAATGTTTCCCCTGGTAAAGGATGATGTTATCCATGAAATGGATTGCTGGCTGAGCCCCGAAACCCGGCAGGAGCACGGATCATGAACATATTTTCAGATAAGGCTTTGTCAGGCGTGCTGGCCTAATAGAGCATTTATCACAGAGACAGGGAAAAAGGAAAGAAAACTAACATTCACTGAGCGTTGGGCACCATGTCGGGCCCTGGGCTTGTACTATCTCATTTTGCATTTGGGTATTAGTATCCCTAGTTTTCTGGATAAGGCATTGAGGGTCAGAGTATTTCCTTCACTTGTTCAAGGTCAGCTAGCTCAGAAAGAGTGGAGCCAGCGATGTGAGTGCCAAGTGTCTGAACTCTGTGTCTGGAAATGGCTCAAAGACAATGCTGTCTATCAAGAGAGTTTGGCTTTTGAGAAACTAATCAGCCTGCCCTCCCAGACCCTCTTCTAACCGTTCCAGTGGCCAGCAGAAGGCCCCTGGAAGACAGGACCCTCCAGTGCATACATGACACCCACATTCACAAGACACCACCCTGCTCTGCCAAGGTATCCTTCCTCCTTCCTTCTGACTTCACTGGAAACAGCTGCTACTCCCACAGCAACTGTCTCCCAAGAAAACATGTTGAGAACGTGGGCTGTGAAGTGGGAAAGTTCTCGAATCGTTCCAGCATCTTCCCACAGGGTGCTGTGACAGATGAAAGCCTCCAGACCCGCACAGGCCATTCTCCCTACCTGCAATGATTCAGGACTGAATGATGGCACATCCATTGAAGTGTGTGTCGGCCACAATGCTGGTGCCGAAGGTGTAAGCCCATCAGGCATGCTTCTGCCCTGCTGGTGGGCTTACTGTGAGACCCCTGCTTTTCTCACAAGCAAATCTCATCCAGCCTATGTGACAAGCATCCCTGTGCTGTAGCAGTCCCATTTCCCAGATAAAGAATGTGAGCTTTGGAGCCTTCTCATAACTGACTGGTGCTTAGCACCCCCTCTCTTCCCCAGGAGGCACTGCACAAATGATGTTTGCGTGGATGGGTGGATGGGTGAATGAATGAATGAATGACTCACAACCTATAGGTGACAAACCTGGATTTGAATACCAGGCTCCCCTAACTCTAATACTTGGTGCCTCCCTCTGCTCCATTTGCTACAGAACACAGTGCCCCTCTTCTTCTAGGCCAGCTCAGCCCTCGTTGCAGTCACGGGGGCATGACTGAGACTCCTGCAATGTAAGAGCCCCAGGTGGTCAGCCGGAGCCTTCCCCCAGCACCCAGGGCACAGGGATTTGCAAGATCCCTTGTATCGCACAAGGTATCTGCCCAGCAGGACAGAGCTGCTCCTAGAATCATTTCACATTGTAATGATGATTATTTGCTGAGCATCAGTACATAAATAATTTATTTGGATGATCCCTGTTTGAGTGACACTTTCCTAATGAAATGTCTTAGTTTGGAAGAGAACGTTCATTCTGAGAAGGTCCTCTTTGCTACCAGGGCACCAAGAGATAACAGAATGGGCAGGTGCTTTGTGAAATTGATTTGGCAGGCTTGGGGCCTCCTCATCCTCAGAGCACCCCTGATGGATGTGCCGTTCACGAAGCCTCTGTCGTTCCTTCCTCAGAGCCACAAGCAGCCCGCCGCCTTCGTGGTCACCCAGCACCCTTTACCCAACACTGTGGCAGACTTCTGGAGGCTGGTGTTCGATTATAACTGCTCCTCCGTGGTGATGCTGAATGAGATGGACACTGCCCAGGTAGGAGGGAGCCCTGCAGCGTCCCTGGGTTGTGCCAGATGGATCAGAGGAGCCACGCTCTGGAGTTGGAGGGCGAACCCATGGTGGGCCCTGCCTGGCCGTGTGCGTGAGGCTGGCATACTTCTGCTGCTTGCAGAGGCAAAGTCTCCCACAGGGCCCTGCACCTCCAGACCTGCAGCAAGGACTCCCACTGCTGTCTTCTCTGTGCAGCTCCCTCTAGGAGCAGACGCCGTGGTTCCTTCCGCCAGGCACTGGTCCATATCCCACAGAACTGGCAGAGCCAGAAGAGTACCCCTTCCCCCAACTCACATGCACGCACACCTCTTGCCCTGAAGACCATTCTGATGCCTGGCCACACCGGCTCTTCACTGCCAGCCTGGAGCGCGCACCTTGGAGACTTTGTCCACTTAACACCCCACCAAGTCCTGGCTTCCTCACTGCTGACTCTGCCGTCCCAGCAGCCTTCATGCCCTGGCCCTCGGGTTCTGGCAGCTCCGTGTACCATGTACCCCAGGGCGTATCCTCATACTCGGGACACAGTCCCTGAAATAGCTTCTGGAGCTCACATTGCTATGGCAGGGGTGGACGAGGTGAGAATGGCCTTTGCGATTTTAGAAAAACTGTCCTTTCATTGCCTTGAAGAAGACTCAAAGTAACTCAGTGCACTCCCATGTGAGTTCTGGCCTTGTGCTAGAATAAATTTTTTTTAAAAAATGGATCTGAGCCATAGACTCGGCCCTCCAGAGCTCACGGTCCCGCTACAGAGACAGATGAGCAGCTTGTCCCCACCTCATGTGGCAGTGCTATAATAGAGGTCAGCAACAAAGTGCTGTGTTGGCCGGGAGCAGGGAGCAATTAATTCTGCCCAGAGGGTGAAGGAAGACTTCAAAAAGAAGGTGACTTTGGCCTTGAAGAAGGCAGAGGAGAGTTGGAGTATGGTGGGTGATTGAGCAGGGAAAAGGCATTCCAGGCAGAGGGAATGGCCGGGACAAAGGCATGGTGGGTGAATGTGTGTGGTGTGTAGGCTTGTTTGCAAAACAGCTTCTATTCCAATGTGGCTGGGGCCTGGGGTGTGTCCAGAGGAGAGGAGCACAGGGAGACTGGAAAATGCAGCAGGGCCCAACTCTGTGCTGGGCGGAGGAGCTTGGGCCTTGAACTACAGCATGGCAGTCAGCAGATTTGATTTGTAAGCCACAAAAGCCACATAAACAGCTTCTGTTGCAAGTGCAGTATTTGAGGCTGGGGTGACCAAGAGGTAGTTGTGTGGAAGCAGGAGGGGAAAGCCTAGGGCCCCCCCCATCACTCCCTATCTGCTCCTGGTGCTCCTCGGGGTGTTGCTAGCCCAGGATAGCTCCCCAAGGCTGAGCTAAGGACTTGTCCTGGTAGAGAGGAAAAGGAACCACGGCTGACTCCGAGGCTTGGTCCTGACTAACGGAAGGCTGGAAACTGAGGTTACTGTAAAAATCAATTTCCGGCCAATGGAGAACTCTACAGAGTTCCCTGGAGAGTTCCAGAATCGGAAGCATCACCACCCTATTCCTTTGACTGAAAAAAGTAAGAGTGGACGCAGTCCCATGCCCCTGGGCGTGAAGTAGGGCCTACGAAGGCCTCTGTGCTGCTTTGTTTTCTTTTTTTCTTTCTTTTTTTTTTTTTTTTTTGGTTCTCCCAAAATCCTTTTTGCAAAACCAGAGCTCAGGCACACAGGAGGTGTTTCAAAGAACCTCACTTTGGGACATATCAGAAGCAAGGGCTTCCTTTCAGAATGGGACCTGGATGAAGGACGGCTCTTTAAGCCCCAGATGTTAATCCAGCCTTTGAGAATCCATTCTCTAAATGCAGAAGCATCAGGCTCAGAGTGCCCCGAGGTTGGCTGCCATATGCAGCTGGCACGCATCCCCTGAAGTCGGCAGATGAATAGAGCACTTATTGATATAAATATCATCACGGCAGCAGCTGGGTGCCTCGCGAAAATAAACAATGACACAGCGTGAGCATAGAAAAGCTGCCCTTGGCACCTGGAGGGGCGGCTCTTTGAAGTGGCATCAGCCCCTGTCTGCCAGCTTGCTCGTGCCAGAGCAGCCCACAGCTTGGACCAGCCCAGCACATGGACAGGTCTGCCTCAGGACCTAAGCTTTGCTAGACTACTCGCAAGAGACCTGGGCTGCATCCTGCAGCTTGACCACAGGATTCGTGCTGGGGGTCGGGCAGAGCTATCTGCAAATTGCAGCAAAATAAGGCTGAGGAGAAGATGTGAGTTCTCAGATGCCTCATTTTCTTGCGCGGCTGGCCAAATATGTCTGCCTCTGCTCGGCGTCCTGCATGGTGTCGCTCGATCAGCCATCCCCAGCCACAAGTATTCCTCCTCTCTCCACAGTAGCTGCTATTCAAAGATAATTATGATCAATGGGGGCTCGAGATAAAGACTTTCCAACCCTCTGCATTCAACCTTAGAGATTTTTTTTCCAGCTCTTTAGGGCTCCAGAACTCTGTTGTTATATTAGTGAAGCAAAAAGTCCTGCAACCAGAGCATCCAGCAAATGGCAACATGGCTTCTCAGATCTCTTGGAAAGAACCTTTTCAGCTACATCCAACAGCACAGTCCATGGGCTCTCTGGATAGACCAGCATTCACAGGGAGGAAACAGCAGAAGGGAACCATCCTTACAGGCCTGCCACCCTCACCACGGAAGACTCAGAAGATCCTCCGTGCTGGTCATGAAGTGGGGCTGTGAGTTAAACAGAACAAGGGCCCTCCAGGGATGTCCATGTTCTAATTTGAAGCTGTCACCTCCCAATACAAAAAGCACTTTGCAGATGCGGTGAAGTTAAAGATCTTGAAATGAGGGTAAGTTATCCTGCACTATTTAACTAGGTCCAATGTAAGCGTCCTTATGAAAAAGAAGCAAATGGATCCATATATGGTGACATGAACAACGCAGTAGAAACCAGAGAGATCCAGGCACAGGCCACAGAATCCTGGCAAGCTCTAGAAGCTGGAATTGGCAAGAAATGGATTGTTTCCGGAGACTCCAGGAAGGAAGAGAGCTGTGTTCACATCTTGATCTTAACCCCTTAAAGCTCATTTCAGCATTTTGACCTCTAGAACTGTACGACTACAGATCTGGGTTGTTCTAAGCCACTGAATTTGTGGTAGTTGTTCCAGCAGCCATGGAAATAAACAGCAATTCAGACCTGAGCTAATAAGCATCACAGCCAGGGGAGGGTGTGAGACAGAAATGATGGGAAGAGCTAGAGTCAGCATTCGGTGTTGGAATGGAAAGCGGTTCAAGCTGGAGAAACCCACATCGCACTCAGAGTCCAAAGGCAAGGCCACAAGAGAGCAGAAGGTGGAGCGCCAAGGAGGCGATGAAGGCCCACTTCACCTACCGAGGCCATCTCGCCAGCCCAGAGGGAGGCCTTTCAGAGGTCAAGGAGCATGTTTCTGGGCCTCATTCACTCATTCATCAGCATACAATGTACATTGACTGAGAACCTACCACGTGGCAGACACAGACCTAGATGTGACAGAGGACAAAAGAGGCACAGAAATCTCCCCATGAAGAAATGATGCTGTTGAAGTGACCCCCCACCCCCACCCCACTCTCTCAGAGCAGAGAGGATGCAATTATCTTTAGCTGGAATCATCCCCTCCCAGACCTTTGTGGGGCAGGAAGAAGCTGAGCACAAACCAAAAGGGATGGAAGAGACAGCGTCCAGGGATGTGTCCCATTTCCCTCAAGCTTGAGGCACAGCCACAGAGGAATCCAGCAGGATACAAGCACCCCATCTTCCTAGACTCAGGTTTGGGAATCAGTGAGACCCAGCCTCCCTTTGGTGGCTTCCACACAAGTGCTAGTGCTGCAGCTTGTCCTGACTACACGGCTGGCTTGTTACATGGGCTGTTGTTGGAGTGTACCCTGCATTTCTCACTATCTGACTGGTCACTGATTCTAGGAAGCACCATTTACCCTGCTTGAATCTTTGAGATTTTATAATCCAGATATCCTTCAAACACCTTTCAGTAGTCCCCATGTCTTCCCTTGTTGCTCTTGTTTCTCAAACTCTACTGATGAGTTAACTCACTGAACTTTGGATCTACAGGCCACACACAGAATACACGAGATACTCTCTGATTCTAGCCCAAAGCCCGAGAGCTGATGTCTTTCCCTCCAGGACAACAGCCTGACCTGCCCGTTCTCCTCCTCACTTAGACCCTACTTTCGTGACTACCAAGTTCACTGTGCAGGTCAGGAAAATGAGGCCAGGCAAGGAAGCAGTCTGAGGTCACACAGCCCATCACTGCCTTCTGCCTATACCCTCTTGCCACAGCGGGTCAAGATTTCTGCCATTGTCTAACTGTGCCTGCCAATCACTGATCTGTTGCCCCCTGAGTAGGTGGAACAGGCAGAGATGTTTCCTTCTTTCAAACAAACACGATCCCACAGCTGGAACTGGAACTGAGCTGCCCAGTTCTGAAGCTCGCACTGTGGAAAGCATGAGAGATCAGGTGGTAAAAAGTCCGGTGGAAAGGCGAGGCTGGTTGCAAGAATAGAGGGAAGGCTAGGATGTAGTCCCATGGACGTGAAAGCTTCTGGAACTAAGAGCTGCAAGCCCCTCATCCTCCCAAGGGAGACTCAGGGGTGCTATTTCAGAGGTGCTTTTTTCCTATCATTGTGCCTGCAGGGCAAATAGCAAGCATGGATATCCCTGTTTTTATCTCGGCTTGTGCTGACGTGTGAGCCAACCACACGGAATGTGCCCACCCTGTGTCTCAGCCAGCCTCACGTCTGACTTTGCAGGTCTCTGTCCCCATGGGAATAATGGAGTAACAGCCATCAGAAGTCAGGGCAGAGACCTGAGCTCAGGTCTAGCTTTGCCACTTCCTTGCTGTGCTGCCCAGAGCCAGTTTCTTTTCCAAATCTCAGGAGTGTCCTCCATTAGATTTGTATCATCCAGAGTTCAGCCAAGATTTTTCTGGCTTTGAAAATTTAAATAAAATGG